CTGTCCACATGACAAGAGAAGATTTCACGCAGGCTGTAGACGAATTGCACCAGGAGCTGGATGGACTGTTGAGTAAACATGAACCAAGACAACCATACCCAAGACCACATAAATATGTCCAGCAGAAACAATACAAGCAAGTAGCTGGGACACTGGTCATGCAAGACATAGAGGATCCAGAAGACCAGTTTCACGTTCTTCCAGCACAACCAGAAGACCAGTTTCAAGTTCTTCAAGCACAAAGACGAGGAGGAGGAGAAGAACACAGATCAACGAGGATAACAAGAAGTACAACAAGAAGACAACTGGCCCCAAGATTTGAGTGTCCAATCCTCATCAAGCAAGGTTATGCTCAATACACACCTTGGGCAAGTCAAGATCTGGACACTTTGGTTTCCCGTCTTCCAGACATTCATGAAGGTGCTGGAAAGTGGATAAGAACATTTGAAGAAGAGACAACTGGAAAGCTTCTGGCCCTGGGTGACATCAAAGCTCTACTTGCCAAATGCCTGGGGGCCTCCAAAATGAATGATGTACTCAAACAGTCTGGCCTCCTTCGAGCTGTGGACAGACCTCAAGAAGATGCAACTTCTTTTGACAAACATCGATGTGACATTTGGATAACTCTGAGAGCTGAGTACCCAATGCAAACTGATCCAGGTTTCCTGAAAGGAGAGCCAATTGGGGAGACTGAGAATCCCACCACCTACATTCAGAGACAAATAAGACGTTGGAAAGAAGAACTGGAAAGAGATCCAGAGCAAGACAAAATACTGACAGCACTCTTCAGGACTGCCATTGTGGAAGCCATGCCTACAACAGTGAAAGTGAAGCTGGAGGATGTGGTAGGTCTGAATTCCAAATCACACAAAGAATTCAGAGACCATGTGGTTCATGCGGTGGAACAATATAGAAAACAAGAGCTAAAGATAAAAACCCAAGAAAAAGAGTTGCAAAGAAAATTGACTCAGATGCAGCTTGAGGAACTGCTCAACAGAAAGAAGAAAATTCAAGCAGTCCAGAAGGAAGATCACTCAGCAGTGATGGCACCCGTCAACACTGAAGTGTTTGTTAATCCACCTGCAACAATGAATGTGCCTGCACCAACAAATCAGATTGCAACAGCACAGGCACCACCTGCTGGAACAGCCACTGCACCACAAGGACCAGCACCAGTTGTCATCTATCTCAAGTCAGAGCAGCCAAACAACAGAGGCTGGAACAGACAACAACAAGGGCGAGGCAGAGGAAGATTTAACAACAATCAGCAAAAATTTGGTGGCCCACCAGGAGTGTGTTGGGGATGCAATCAGCCTGGACACGCCAGAAGAGATTGTCCCATCAATCCTTGGCCACAGGACCACCCAATGGCCCCAGGAGTCAACTATGGACAACAACAAGTGCAACCACAAACTCTAGGTCCTGTCAACCCATGGCGTGGACCTGACCAAGGTTATTAGGGCTGCCCAGAGAATCTTACAGGGAGGAATCAGCTTCCAATGATATCATGTGATGCTGATCAAGAACCAATGCTGCAAGCTAATAACGAAGGAAAAAACAAATCACTCTCATGCTTGACACAGGGGCGACACACTCGTGTTTAAATCCAAGATATGCCTCGCACCTCCCCATGTCTGGAAAATATATAAAGACAGTAGGATTCTCGGGAACAACTCAGTTACTTCCTATGACAGCCCCTGTGAGTATAAGCCTGAAAAACACTGAAATAAGAATACCAGTCTTAGTCTCAGAACACACACCTGTCAATTTGTTGGGTAGGGATGCCATATGTAAATTAAAAATGCAGATATGGTGTACACCAGAGGGAATTTATATAGATGATAGGGCAATGAGACAAATGAATGTCTCAACATTACAACAAACACAAGAACCATGTGCTAACATGTATTGGTTAGGTGATCTAAAAGAAGATGTAGAAAAAACACTTAGCAAATGGGCAAGATATATAAGGGAACAGCTTTGTGAACCAAGTCTACCAAAAACTGAATTTCATTGTACTATGAAGTATGATGAAAACAAAGATCCAGATTTTGAAAAAAGATGGCTAAAAGACACAAAAGGATTGAAAATCCCCATGATATCACAAAGCATAATAATAGGACCCAAAGGTGTAGCTCTGCAGATAGATAGGGAAAAATTCATAGATGACTGGTTTGCAGTACCAAACTCAGTGCCTCATGTTACATTATATGTAAATAAAGACTGTGTCTCTAAAGACTTAGGCCCCACGATGAAACAAGCAGAAAAAAGCAATTGGGAAGCCACAGAAAATCCTCTAATTTTCCAATCAGCAGACAAAGAATATCTTAAGATTTTGTGTGCTACTCCAATGATAAGTGTCCCCAGAATGGTCATAAACACAAGAGTTGAGCCAAAAGTTAAAGAACATCAACCAAAGCAAATTGAATTGTTAAAAGACATGGAGAGACAAGTACCATTAGAATTATGGTCTCAACATGATACAGATGTGGGGTTAGTAAAATCAGCTAATCCAATTAGAGTAGTACTTAAACCAGGAGCTAAAGTACCCAGAAAATTGCAATACCCTTTGAAACCAGAAGCAGTAGAGGGAATCAAAAAGACAATTGAAGGATTAATGAGAGCAGGAGTGCTTGTTGAAACTACTAGTTATAGTAACACCCCAATATTGCCAGTAACTAAAGCTGACAAATCAAAATGGTGTTTGGTGCATGATCTGAGAGCAGTGAATGAGTTTGTGGAGGATTGGCCTGCTGAAGTTCCAAACCCGCATACGTTGCTAACCAATGTTCCATCTGCTGCTAATTACTATACTGTAATTGATCTCTGCTCAGCTTTTTTCAGTGTTCCCTTAGCCGAGGAGAGCAGACCTTTGTTCGCATTCACCTACCAAGGTAAAAAACTCACATACACGAGAATGCCTCAGGGCTTCAAACACTCACCACATGTGTACAACCAGGTTTTAAAAGAAGACTTAGGAGATCTTAGGCTAGATAGCACACTGATACAATATGTAGATGATTTGTTACTCTGTTCAACATCTTTGGAACAATGTCATCAAGATTCAATTAAAGTACTCAATAAATTAGCTGAGGGGGGACACAAGGCCTCTAAAGAAAAATTGCAATATTGCTTACCACAAGTTGAATACTTAGGACGCACAATTTCACATGGGATGAAAGCTATATCACCCAGTCAATTGGAGGACATTAGTAAAGCGCCCCAACCACAAACAGTGGGACAAGTTTGGAAGGCTTTAAGAAAAGTGATGGCACGCCTATCCAGCATGGTGATCAGATAATTGATTTAATATTTAATATCATGTATCCCAAGAAGTTGGCCATCATCAAATGTCAAGCACACAAAAAAGGCAATGATTTTGTTATTAAAGGCAATAATGCAGCGGACCAATATGCTAAACAAGCCTCTGGCTGTACAACAGCAATAATGGCTCCTTCTGTTCTAATTCAACCTCAACCTCAATTGGCTGATGTTGCACGAATGCAGCAACAAGCCGCACCATATGAAATTAGTGTGTGGCAGCAAAGAGGAGCAACACGAGATGCAAATGGGCTTTGGCGTTCTCATGAGGGCCACATGATTGCTCCTACACCATTGCTTACAATCCTAATCTCTGACGCGCATGGTTTTGACCATTGCGCGAGGGGGGAAGTCAATAATAATAAATAAATAAATAAAGTGACAAGGATTTTGGTCACCTTGTTTACAGGCAATGGTGGATGAGTATTTATCTGAATGCAAAGTTTGCACCCAAAACAATGTTAGGAAAGGAACATCTGCACCTATAGGCCACATACCAGTCCCAGAAGGGCCATTCAAACATCTAGTAATGGATTATGTAGACATGATAAAATCAATCAGAAGCAATAGAAGACTGAGTAAGAATACTATAAGGAGTGACAATATAGAAGGGGACCTAAACAAATCTGTAGAGTCCCTGCCAAAAAGACAGAGAGTGAAAAGAGCATATAAGGCAGACCCAAGTGTATACATTCAAATGGCCAATCAAGGGAATACTAGAGCAATTTAAGGCCAAGAATGAGATAAAATATGGATTTGAGTCAATATTCATATAGATAACCTCTATCAAGAATATAGAGCGGATAAACTATATTTATTGTAATTAGCAGATATTTATTAACTATACTGATGATGCATAGACAAACATTGAACTGGTTGTTGGTCGAAAAAAGGCGTATGTGTAATGTTTGGAACTGACTGTTGTACTTATATTTCAAATAGTACAGCCCCAGCTGGATCATTCACCAAAGCTATGGAGAAACTGAAAAACCTGAGAGATGAAGTGACTGAGAACGCTGGAACAGACATGCATACTTGGGATTGGTTTGATTCACTTTTTGGGACTTGGGGAGAATGGTTAACCAAAGTGGGGATCATAATAGGCATTGTCGTTTCTTTTGCTGATCTGTTGTTTCTTTTGCTGTTCTGTTGTATTGTGCCTTTCATCAGATCAATGCTGGCCAGTGCTGCAGCCAAACAGATGATTAACGTGTCAGTGAAGCCAACTGGAATTGACATTGGGTGTACCAACATGCATACAGTGGGACCTGAGCTGGATGAATTTGTGTAAAACCTTCCTGAAAAACAACAGAGTGGTAGGGAAGGGGTGCCTTTTATTTTCTATTTTTTATTTTATCCTGTATTGTAACTTTTGATAGAAAGGGAGTTAGTATCTTCATTGTATTTTCTTTTTATATATTATGTAGTAATATTAGAACACTTGGATAGAGTAGGAAGGAAGTTAGATGATGTTATGTATTTTATTTTGGCATATGCTCCTTCCTGAAGTCATTTACTCCTTAAGGCATGTACAAAAGGGTTGAAAATTCCCATGATATCACAATACATAATAGTAGGACCAAAAGGTGCAGCTCTGCAGATAGATAGGGAAAAATTCATTGATGACTGGTTTGAAGTGACAAACTCAGTTCCTCGTGTTACATTATATGTAAGTGAGAACTGTGTCTCTAAAGACTTAGGCCCCATGATGAAACAAGCAGAAAAAAGCAAGTGGGAAGCCACAGAAAATCCTCTAATTTTCCAATCAGCAGACAAAGCATATCTCAAGATTTTGTGTGCTACTCCAATGATGGGTGTCCCCAGAATGGTCATAAACACAAGAGTTGAGCCAAAAGTTAAAGAACATCAAACAAAGCAAGACGAATTGTTAAAAGAAATGGAGAAACAAGTACCATTAGAACTATGGTCTCTGCATGACACAGATGTGGGGTTAGTAAAATCAGCTAATCCAATTAGAGTAGTACTTAAACCAGGAGCTAAGCTACCCAGAAAATTGCAATACCCTATCAAATCAGAAGCAGAAGAGGGAATCAAAAAGACAATTGAGGGATTAATGAAAGCAGGAGTGCTTGTTGAAACTACTAGCTATGGTAACACCCCAATATTGCCAGTAGCTAAAGCTGATAAATCAAAATGGCGTTTGGTGCATGACTTGAGAGCAGTGAATGAGATTGTGGAGGATTGGCCTGCTGAAGTTCCAAACCCGCATACGTTGCTAACCAATGTTCCATCTGCTGCTAATTACTATACTGTAATTGATCTCTGCTCAGCTTTTTTCAGTGTTCCCTTAGCCGAGGAGAGCAGACCTTTGTTCGCATTCACCTACCAAGGTAAAAAACTCACTTACACGAGAATGCCTCAAGGCTTCAAACACTCACCACATGTGTTCAACCAAGTTTTAAAAGAAGACCTAGGAGATCTTAGGTTGGACAGCACTCTGATACAATATGTAGATGATTTATTGCTCTGTTCAACAACCTTGGAACAATGTCATCAAGATTCAATTAAAGTACTCAATAAATTAGCTGAGGGGGGACATAAGGCCTCTAGAGTCAACACCAATTCCAGATGCACATGTTGGAATATTTTGTGGATGGTTCATGTTTTAGAGACCATTTAGGTAATCATGCTGGATTTGCAATTGTAAAACGTGTTGATGATGATTTTGTCCCAGTGGTGGTGCAGCATTGTGAACAACCATGCTCAGCACAACTGGCAGAGTTGAAGGCTCTAACTGAAGCCTGTAAGTTGGCTAAAGACCTGATTGTAAATATTTACACAGATTCTGCATATGCACATGGTGTATGCCATCTTTTTGGAGCAGTTTGGAAGCAAAGAGGCTTTAAGAAAAGTGATGGCACGCCTATCCAGCATGGTGACCAGATAATTGATTTAATATCAACCATGATGCATCCCAAGAAGTTGGCTATCAACAAATGGCAAGCACACAAAAAAGACAATGATTTTGTGATTAGGGGCAATAATGCAGCAGATCAATATGCTAGACAAGCCTCTGGCTGTACAACAGCAATAATGGCTCCTTCTGTTCTAATTCAACCTCAACCTCAATTGGCGGATGTTGCACGAATGCAGCAACAAGCCACACCATATGAAATTAGTGTGTGGCAGCAAAGCGGAGCAACACGAGATGCAAATGGGCTTTGGCGTTCTCATGAGGGCCACATGATTGCTCCTACACCATTGCTTACAATCCTAATCTCTGACGCGCATGGTTTTGACCATTGCGCGAGGGGTGAAGTCAATAATAATAAATAAATAAATAAAGTGACAAGGATTTTGATCACCTTGTTTACAGGCAATGGTGGATGAGTATTTATCTGAATGCAAAGTTTGCACCCAAAACAATGTTAGGAAAGGAACATCTGCACCTATAGGCCAGTTCTACCAATATTATTTGTTATAATGTTTTTTTTATTTTTATTTATTATGATACTGTATTATTACTGTGGTATGCAACTGCAACCACATGTTCTGGACTTGGAAAATCTCTTGTCCATGTATGTAGGAATGTATTTGCTTCTGTCATTGTGCAGTGTCCTTGAGCTTGGGAAAGGCGCTATATAAAATAAATTAAACATTATTATTATTATTATTATTATTATTATTATTAGGAGGATGCAAGGATGGATAGGTATTATGATTTAATCTTATTTAGTGTGTGGAGTTGTCTTCACAAGTAAGCTTGAGATGAAAAAATATATACTCAAGTAAAAGTACTATTACTTTAAAAAAACAAAAACAAATGTAGTAGCATTAAATTAAAAGTACTCGAGTAAGCGTAAAAAAAAGTAGCTTATTTAAAAGTACTGATGAGTATGAGTACTAAGCTGCAGATTCTATCGCCTTATAATAAACACTGCACACTGATTTAATATTGACCACCAACTTTTAATGGGGTGGTTGACTGTTTTTTTTCCTAGGCTTGATTGTGTTTATGGGGTGCAGTCTAACATGTGTTAATGCTTTGTTTTAAAAAAATAAAACGCATTATATTTCACATAGTTTACCTTTATTCTACACCGCTCTGTCCCTTCTCCTTAAAAACACATTATTTT